TAAATCTAAGCAGAAAACATGGCCAGTTGAGATTCTTTTCTACATTGAAAGGATCATAATGTTGGACTGCCTGATACCCAAACTCTCGTTGTTTTATAGAATTTGGTTTTCTACCTCTTCCCATAAGAGAACTAATCTTGTATGTTTTGTTCCTGATACCAAATAGGATTTACTTCCTATTGCAATAGAAATTGCCAATTTCATGTAAAGCTTTGTCATGTGGTCATCTGCAAGGGGTTCAGGAGTGGTAAACTCAAGACTTATTTCTCCACATTGGTAGGTATCAGGGAAGTTACAGAAGGGAGGAAAAGGTGCTACTTCTTAATTGAATGGTGAGAAGGAAGAAGTTTGAGTTCTGTAGCAGGTATGGATGGCCTGTATCAGTTTTTATTCATTTCAACCAGTACTTGAGAAACTATTTAGAAAGGCAAAAGGTTTTGTTTTCTTTTTTGGGCTCACACTTTCAGGCATTTCGATCCATGCATGATTGGCTTATAGTAGAATATCATAGTATGAAAGACCAACATTGTTCAACTCATAGGTCATGGAACATAAGGGGGTGCCCAAGGAAAGTCAGACCCTTCAAATGCACATCACAGTGTTCTACCTCTCTCACCCAAACTCCTAAGTCTCTATTCTTTCAAGTGGTAGCATTAAAGTATTTCATCAATATTCATAGGTCCCAGGGTCTTTTTCAGGTAAATTACTCTGTTCCATGAAGGGACTTACAAGTTTATTACACGACAAGTTCACTGAGCCTGACAACTTAGCTTCTACACATCTACACATGTCTATTCTTGAAGAGCCATTTCTAAGCATTCTCAGATTGATTGTGGAATCTTTCCCTGAAATAGAAGTTAAGCCCTCTTCATTTCAGGATTTATGTCTTCTGTATCAAGGCCTACACCAACTTTGCTCCTTCTCCAAATCTCTATATAATCTTTAGGAAAGCTTGCTTTCATCCTGCAACAAACTGAATGAGTAGGACTTGTCTCTCCTGTGTAGAGACGATCATTTATCACCTTGAGTTTCTAAAAGACACAACAATATTTATGTTAACTTGTCCTAGGCATTATATTGTAAGAGCTTCTTAAAAGAGATTCTGAATCTGCCTTTAATTAGACAGGTTTCTAAGTTCAAGGCCAGTCTAGTCTACATAGGGAGTTCCAGGCCAGCCAGGGATTCACAGTGAGACCCTATGTCTCTTTTTTTAAAATTATGGTTTAATGAAAGAAAAAAGACTGAAGTTCACATGCAACTGGAAAAAGTCACAATAATGTGGTTATAATAAATATGTGATTAAATATCTAATATAATAGTTTCCCTGGAATTGAAACAGACATATTGTACAGTTTACCAAGCTTTATTTATTTTTTCTATTATAACATAATTACATCATTTCTCCTTTTCCTTTTCACCATCCAAACTCTCTAATATACTCTCTTTGTCCTCTTTCAAATTCATGGGCTCTTTTTTCACTGAGAGTTTTTACAAGCACATATGATTATACATATACATTCCTGAATATAACCTATTCAGGTTGTCTATTGTTACTTGTTTATGAGTTCTCAGGGCTGTGCATTTGGTATAAGATAACCATTTCCCCCACTCTGAGTATTCCTTATTTGCCTCTAGTTCTTTGAGTATTTGTATAGGGTTGAGGCCTCTTGGTTCCCCACATCCCAATCCACTTTTCTGTGTCTATTGTTCTCCCTAATCAGCTCATGTTTGGGTAGTCAGATTGGGGAGACTTTCTGGGTGTAGCACCTGAACTTACTAGGAGACACAATCCCGAAGCAAACTACCTGATCCTCTGGCTCTTGTAGCCTTTCTGCCACTTCTTCTAAAATGTTTCCTGAGGCTTAGGTGGGACAGTGCTTTATAGAGTCATTATCCCTTTGGACTGAGCTCCACAAGTCTGCATTTTGATTGGTTGTGGCTTTCTGTTGTCTCTGTTGTAAAGACAAGCTTCCTTGATGAACAATGAAGACTAAAGTTATCTACAGGTATAAGGACAATATTTAGAGGGTATTTGGGATTGTGATGGTTTAGCAGAGTTTTAGTTGTAGGCTCTTCTCTAATTGCCATGACTTTCCCATCCCTGGATAGTTGTCTAGGTTGTTAGCACCAGACACTATTTCTCCATTGTCACATGGCGTTAAGTCCAATTAGAGAGCTGTTCATTCCTGCCAAAGTATGGATTATGGTGCTAGGCTGATCATAGTTCAGAGGCATCATAGATGTGTAACACTGTTGGTTGTTTCCCTCCATTGGAAGCTTACATGGCACCTTCTGGGGCCATGAAAGTCAGACCTCAGGGAAGGGGCATTCAGGTCAGTTCTAGCTCAGGGGCCTCTGGGTCCTGTGTTTGGAATGAATGATATTTTCAGAGACTTAACTTCCACCTCTGGAGTGAAGGGCAACCAAGGACAATAATAAAGTCTGTAATGTTTTGGGAGTCTCTTGGATAGCCCTGGACAATACTCAAAGAGGACCTCTCATACCTGGTGTTGGAAGTTTGGTTAGGGGGGATTGGGCTATGGGAGGGAGCATTGTCAGTCCAGATGAGAAAATTTCATTCAAAGTGTGTGTGTGTGTGTGTGGTGGTGGGGGTGAATGCGTTCATGTGTGCGTGTGTGTTATAGGTAACTCTTAGGTAATTTTTTTAAGTAGCCCCCACTCCTGCTCGAAACTTGCATCTACCACATCCCAATGCACAGCAGATTTATTTGCTATAGCCTATAGCCTCTGTCTAGTTGGTATTTTTTCTCATTTCCAGCAGCTTGCCATATCAATCTATGCCCAGTAGCCGCAGAAGCAGTTTATATAGTGCTGCATATTGTGACTAACTTACGTAATTTATGTTTAATTTTAAAATTCAATAAGTAGTTGCCAGATGAGACACTCTATAAATCACCCAAATAAATAATGAATGTCTCTTCCAATGCAGGCTCCAGGCATAGAGGATTTCAGTCCAAATAACAATAGAAAGGAAGAGAAAGTGGAAAGAGAAAAACAAAGAAACATACAATTCAGCAAAAATATGTATCTATGTGTTTTCAGAGTCCTGCTCTGCAGAGCACTGTATGATGTTAGTTAGAAATCTGTAGAGTCTTTTATGTTGACATGTACCAGAAGGAGATGAGTCTTCCCTGTCCATTCTGCAAAAGAATGATCTCCCTCGTATTCTGCACTCCTCAATCTTAAACGTGTCTTCAAAATAATTTATGTGGACATATATAATTATACATGTCAAATATGAAATAAGAGATCTCTACATAATAACCCCTGAAAAGGAGCAATGGAAAACAGTGTGGAAAACAGTGGGAGAGGACAGGAAGTGGTACGAAGAGGAAAGTTACCCGGACCAGTGTGAAGTCACTGAGACACAACCACCCACATTGCAAACTGGTGGGCTTTTTTCATTAGTTGTTTGAAAGAAGATTTATAAAGGTTGAAGTGAATTTTTTTTAGCCTGCAGAATAAACATTAGGTTGGGGGAGGTAAGTTTAGCACTAAGTATAGAAAAAGGATGAAAACGTAAAGCAAACATACTACAGAGACATACAGAGAACTGCATCAAATGATAAAAGAGAAAATAAAATAGCAGTTACTAAGATTAAGACTGCATCAAGTTCTGTTTTACATTGGCCATGAAGGTTTTGAGTCATGTAGTGAGTTTTTTACTGTAAGGATATTTAGTTCCCTGGCTTTTGTGATGACATGTGTCTATTAAAAGGAACAGAAACGAGTACTTTGTGTATATGTGCTTGAGTTCTCCACATTTACATTTAGAACTTGTTTACAGAATAAACTTTTTTGAGAACCTGCTTTACGTAGTTAAGCCAAGTTACTTAGTTAGAACTCTGCAGGGCTAATCCAATCACCTAGCTTTCTCCTGAGTGTTTTTAATTACCTTTCCTTCCTTTCTGTTGAACTACCACTGGATACTGTGACTGGCTAGCCCTTCTTCAAATTCACAGCATCCATGTGGTTTGGAATTACTTTTGAGATGCCTAGTCCTTTATGATCATCAAATATAACATATCCTATCACAATTCATTATGTAATTTGAATTACTAGTTCCTTAAAGGTACACAGTTCGCTTTTCATCCTCTTTCCCTCTTTGCCTTAAAAGGACAGTGGTGCTTCAGCTTCTAAACCTCTCCTGCTCAAACTTCAGAAATTCAACCTTTAAGAAATTGCTCCCATTGACTGCCCATGATACCTTAGCATCATCCATGATATAGCATTGTCCCCCCCCCTGGATTTAGGTTTAGAGTAGGCAGTGAAGACTCTGAAATTCAAATAGCATACGAGTTGAGTCTATGGCTAAAAGAATGTGGGAAGTGTACTAACCTGGAGGCTTTTATTCTCATACCAACTCTCTGAAGTAAATGTGGGTTCTGCAAATGAGAACTCTTGCAGAGAAGTGCTGTCTGCAGAGACTGGGTGACTGCTTAGAACTGCAAGATGGTGGAGAAATTGGAAGGATGCAGGTCCAGAGGCTCATTACCTTATCCTGGGATATTAACCTCTCCCCACAACAACTAGTCCTTACCCACCTCTGTGTCAGAACCAACATCTTGTGACTAATAGAAACATTTTGAATTCTACTCTTTAAGAAGAGTACTAGCTTCCACCAACCGAAAGCTAAGAATGCTGTCAGAAAGCATCTTAGGTTGTGGAAAAGCTTTCCTCATCTTGCTGTAACCACATCTCTGGTGTACCCACGAATGTATCTTAAGCTTGCCTTTATTTATGACTTTCTTTATTCTGCAAAATCATAAAAACTTCATGAATCTGATTCCATGTAGGAACAAGAAATTTGGTACAAACTAAATTTGTGTTCCTGGGCTATGGCCACTCAAAATGACTCCAGAATAAACTTTAATCTCTTTAAGATGAGAATCATGGAATTTTTTTGTCTGTTTTGTTTTGTTTTTTGTTTGTTTGTGTTTTTTTGGCATTGACAGTTTATTGATGTTTTGCTTTAACAGTTGGGGAACTAGTGGCCCAAGATGACTATGTGACTTATTCAAGATCACAGAGTTTGATAGGGTTGCAGTCAGATTCAGCCCAGGCCACACGGTATCAAATCCTATGGTATAAAATGACAGAGATACAACATGGAATCCTAAACAACAAGAGGTCTACAAAGAACCAAATGTCACAGAAAGAGAAGATCCCAACTTGTATAATCAGTCTTGGCTATGATGAACAGGATCAAGCGTCGTGAGAACCACCAGTAAAACGTCGAGTCTATAGGCTCTACAGTCCTAGAGAAAGGCTGGAGGAACTCTCTCAAGCTAGTGAGAGAACTCTAGAAATATTGTGGAAATACTCAAAGAAACTTGAGAATATAACATAGAAAGAGATGCACACACAAGATATCATGTACCTAGAATTGATTGAGAAGATCAGAAAAAGAATGGCAATCATTTGGACTCCTCAAAGCATCACGGTTTACTCAAGCATTGATAAAGAGTGAATTGTGTCATCTCTCCACTGAGCATGACGGGAACAGTGTTTGGAAAGTGCAGTGGTCTCTTCCATTTCTAAATGTGTCTGTACCACTAGGTTTGTCCGTCCATGCCTATGAAGTGTTTTTCCCCTCGAAGGCTTTAAAGTGCCCCTCAAAATTCTGATGGTGTTCAAATGACTGACTACAGAACTAATTTGACTTCTTTCCAGCTATCTAAACTAAATAGGGGGTAAAAGTATGATTATATTTGTTCCACTATAAATAAATGATTAGGTTAAAAATGGTACTGGTTACAGGTTCCTTTAATAGTCTACAAAACACTTTGAAAGTTGCATTGCAGTCCCGATTCACAGGAAATGAGGGAAACTTAATAGGTTTCATTTTTATTTTTAGTGTGTGTGTGTGTGTGTGTGTGTGTGTGTGTGTGTATGCATGTGTGTTTGACTATGAATAACCAGTTTGGGGCTAGCAACCATTACATAGGAAATGGCTTTTGCATCTGAATAGCTTTGTAATTTCCTTGCAACAAAACATGCATTGGTGTTAGTAGGGATTATATTGTAGACAATCCTAAATGTTTTTCCACGTGCTGGGTATCCTGACAATACAAAGGTGTGAAGATGAGAGGGGTAAAGCCACGCCAGAATCATCAAAATGTCCAGGCTGGGTGTTTATAAACGATGTAGTTACGGAAATGATTCTGTGTGCTTACAGGCAGCAGGCAAGGATTGAAGGAGCAGCCAAGCTGTTTGAAAATGAACACACATGTTTGATGGACAAAGAATTTTCCACCCTTGCTTCTCCCTTGTTATGAGCCAGCTGTCTGTGGTCAGAACTGATCATGTTCCCATGTTTTCTCTTTTGGTCCCTATTCTAACTCTTAGGTAATTAACATACCTCTTTAATCTGTAACCAAAGTTCTAATCATTCTGTGCCCGGTGGTCAGCTCCTCTGTTTGAATAACATTGTCTCTCTGTCAGAGCTAATTTTTGAATCCTGACTATACTTCATGGTCCTTGGCCTGGGGAAGCAATTGGGAGTTGCTTTCCTAAACTTTCCTCATTCCACCTCCCACCTTACCTTGTGGCTGCAGTTATCACCTTTATTTGAATAATTGTAAAGCTATCAAAGCAATCCAAATTACCTATGGCCTCTGCTAGCCATGGACCTGGGCATCATCATTCACCTTTTTTATATTGATTATTTATTAAAAAATATTTATTCTCATGCCTGCTAGGCAGAGAAAGTTGAACACCATCTTTTTTAAAGAGCCTGTAAACAAATTATGGCTCCAGGAAAGCACATCTGGCTGAGTGAGAGGTCAACCTAGGGAAAGTGAGAGTGTAAAGACAATCCATTATCTGTAGTCAAGTTTGTGTGGAAAGCACTGAAGCAATTACACAGAAATAGAAATGTAAATTTAAATTATGCTATGTACGTACTGCAAGGATTTATAGCTAGGTAGCTATGCTATAGGTCCATTAATTCAAAGAACACGCTGAGCTTTAGTGTGCTTTGTGCTAACAAAGGACTTGAAGATCCTGGCTATACAAACGTGTTATCCTCTCATATGTTCCCTCAGGGTGCCAAGAAAGCAAAGGAAGCCAATATTACACTGGTGTGTAATTAAAAGGAAAGCAGAGGTAGCAGGAGATTCTGGTATACATGAGTAAACACTCAACCCTCCTGGAACATTACCAGAGTGCCCGAGGAAAGCTTTTCTATTTAGGGATTACGTTTTATGCAAGTGGAGGAGAAAGACATGTGCTCAGAGTCAAAGCAGACTGAGATTCTTTTAGTGTTCTGGGGGCACATGCATATGCGTCATGTGAAAACCAGAGGTCAGCCTATGACATCATTCTTCAGAAACCCATCCCTTTATCTTTTGAGAAAAGGTCTCTCATTGGCCTAGAGCTCACCAATCAGGCTTGTTTGGTTAGCCATCAAGACCCAGGCATCCACCAGTCTCCTGCCTCCCTGACACTAGGTTTGCAAGCGTGCACCACCATGCCCAGTCTTGAAAGTATGACACTAGGGACTGAACTCAGGTCTTCATACTTGCATGGCAAGCACTCTGGTAACCGAGCATTATCATTCTTGTAACAAGGCAATAAACCTAGACTAATCATTTTATTCAATAGATTTTTGGACTCAGCTTATAATTTTAGGCCAACTCATGTTTTAGCATATCTAATCTGCATTTTAATTGGAAAAATAGAAATAAAGCATCAGTCACTGGTCAGGAAAGCAAGTGAAAGCCACTGTCATGAACTGTTTTCCTTGAACTTGATAGGCATATCCCCATTAGGATAGAGTTACGTCAGCTTGCTCTTTTCTCTGAGATAGGAGTTTCCCCCTACTTTGTCAGGGCTGGATTTATCTGTGAGAGATGAGCATGTCCCTTTTGTGCCTTGCAGAATGATAACAAATATTATTTGGAGTTTTGCCATTCTGGAACATTCTTCTAGGAACACTTAAAACCAACTATTAGCTTATTTGAATCTCATCCAGATGTCAAAATGTATGTGCATGTTCCAAGGAGAGATACTTGGAAACTATAGTAGAATCAACCTAGGTGAACTTACAACATGTGTGTGCTTGAAGGTCCTGGCTATACAAAGGTGTTATCCTTTCATTTCTTCCTTCAGGGTGCCAGGAGAGCAAAGAAAATCAGATTATAGTGGTGTGTGATTAAAAAGAAAGCAGAGGGTAGCAGGAGACTCTGATATACATGAGTAAACACTCAACACTCAGGAGATAGAGAAGTAAAATTGAAATTCAGTCTAACAATGCTATTTCAGCAGCATGAAGGCAATGCCTCCCCACCCAGAAAAGCAGGTATAACATGAGGGCCAGCTTGCTTGGGGTATCTGTCCCTCCCAGTACCCCACAGCTGGCAAGCAACAAAGAAAATCACACATAGTCTACATTAGGTTATAAACTGATTGGCCCTTAGCTCTGGCTACTTATTAGCTCTTATAACTTATATTACCCCATTATCCTTATCTACATTAGCCACACAGCTCAGTACCTTTCTCAGCTGGGCAAATTACATGCTGCCTCTTCGGTGGTCTGCGCAGGAATGTGGAGGGAGCTTTCTGCTTCCCAGAATTCTCCCAGTCTCTTTGCTCCACCCCTACTTCCTGTCTGGCTTTCCCGCCTATAGTGCCTGCCTGGCCAATCAGTGTTTTATTAAAATATGATTGACAGAATACAGACAATTCTCCCACACCAAGCAGGAATATCTGAAAATGAAGGAAAATGTGAAAATATTCTAATTATCAAGGAAGACATGAGGAGAACCAACTTAATGAAGGACCTGGCTCATGATTAGTAGTATTGTTTATAGGCCCCTTATTCTGTTTTGCAGATGCTGTTAAAATATGGAGTATTCATTAAAAATTGTCCCTTTTATGGAATGGAATTAAATGTTATTTTTTTATGCTTATAATATGAAAACTTAAGTTCAGATAGACAAGCAGAATGTCATTTTACCATTTGGCTTTTAAAGTATAATGTTGGAAATGTATTTTGAACATCTTCCCTCTATATCTTACCCTCACTAGTAGGGTGCATTCCCTGCTATACTTGGATTAATTAAGTCACTACTGGAAATTCTCTTCGGTTTTTCTTTGCTAATTGAAAAACGGTTCTTATTCTCAAGTTTCCCTACAGGCTTCATGCAGACACTATCATAAAAGTCAATACTAAAAAGAGAAAATTGCATTGTTTCCTATGCTTCATCTCTCCCCAAATTGACAAAAATATTTTCCAATAAAACCACAGGCAGACTTTTAGACTTGGATATTCTACCAAGTCATATGCACAGGGCTCATGATTTATACAATTACCCCAGTGCTGAACCAAAGAAACCATGGAAGGCCATGACCTCTCTTCTAAAGGGGAATTCCAGCAATGTGGTGTGTTCTGTGAGCTAGTCTTCAATCATCAATGACACAAATTGATTTCTGATTGCTTACTCATGAGGCCTGGGTTTATGTTTTTTGTTACTAATTGTTTTTATTTATTTATTTATTTTTATTCATTTTTGAAATCTTACTCTGCTTTAAAATGTCTCCACTGTCTTGTCTCCTCTATGCTAATTCATATTAAAATTCAAGTGCAATTTACATTTTGTAATTTAAAAAATGAGGGTCCCAAGAGAGACATACATAGATATAATCTACATGGGAAATAGAAAAAGACAAGATCTCCTGAGTAAATTGGAAACATGGGGACCTTAGGAGAGGGTTGAAGGGGAGGGGAGAGGCAGGGAAGGGAACAAAGAAAAATGTAGAGCTCAATAGAAATCAATAAAAATAAAAGAAATTATCTATCTTTTGGAGAATGGATGGTCGTGTGTGGCATGCATATGCAGGTCAGAGGACAGCTGGTTGGAATGGATTCTCTCCTTCTACCATGTGGATCCAGGGATTAAGCTCAGGTCTTTGACTTGATAGTGCTTTTATCCACTGAGTCATGTTTCCAACCTCTTCATGTACTTATTTTAAAAACTCCAAACACAAAGAACTAATAACATCAATGTATCTTCAAAAATAGTCCTCCTCGGGGCAAGTCAGATGACTCAATCAGTGAAATGCTTGCCACACAAGCACAGGGCCCTGTGTTCATTCCCTGGAAGTCATGGAAAAAGTTGAATGCAGCAGAGGGTGTCTGTAATTTCAGTGCTGAAGAGATGGAGAACAGAGGATTCGTGAAACTTACT